CCTGCACAGTCATGGGACAGATGCAAACTGGAATAGAAAAGGCTTAAGTAACTGAACCAAAAGTTCACAGCCTACAAAAAGTAAAACACGAATTACAGTCTGAATATATAACTCAATTGTTTGCCTGCTGAGACAAGAGCATCAACAATCTCTGAAGTATTATAACAGTACCCAGGCTACATAACATAATATTCAGTGTCCATGATAAAATCCAAAATTACTTGGTATAAAGGACCAGGAAAATGTGACCAATTCTCAAGGAAAAGACAACTCCAAGATGACTCAGATGTTGGAACTATCAGGGAAAAACTTTAAAGCAGCTCCCATAACTGGTTCCTTTAGGTAAAGGAAAACACATTTGAAATAAAATAAATTCTAGCAAGAAATATAATTTATTAAAACAAATTTTATAACTGCAATATATAATATCCAATATAAACTGATTGAATGGGTTAAATAACAGAATGGAGATGACAATGAAAAGTCAGTGACCTTGAAGATAGAGTAATAGAAATTAATCAGAAGAAGAGAGAAAAGATTTTTATAAAAATAAACACAGACTCAGGGACTTGTGTGACAATATGAAAAGGAACAAATGAAATATGGATAACTGGAGTTCCAGAAGAATTGAAGAGAGAGATTTTGTTAGAAAAGATATTTGAAGATTTGAAAACATAATGGCTGAAACCTCCAAAATTGGTGAAAGATACAGATTTATAGATACAAGAGACTCAGCAAATTAGACAGAGTAAACTCAAAACTACACCTGCACACATCAAAAGTAAACTGCCAAAAAGCAGATATTCACCTGCTAACAGGAAAATGGCTGCTAAAGAAATTTAAAATACACTGAAAGCTATTAACAAAAAATTATACATTACCTACAGAGCCATAAAGATTTGAATGTACCCATGCACTTCTCATCATAATCCTTGGAGGGAAGAATTTAGTGGAACTGTACCTTTAACACATTGAAAGAAAGACCTGTCAACTCAGAATTCTATATCCAGTAAAAATATTCTTCAGGGATGAAGGTGAAATAAAGACATTTTCAGATAAAAGAATTCATGAGCAATGGGATTGCTGTATGAGATATGCTGAACGAAGTTATTTAAACTGAAGAAAAATGATACCAAAGAGAAACCTGGATCTTCAGGAATAAAAGAAATGCAAAATAAATGGTAAATAGCTGGTTATTAGAAAAGATTACTTTTTTCCCTCCAAAACTTAAAGAAAAACCTATAATTGTCCAAAACAAAAATAGTAACATTATCTCATGGAATTTTCAATATGTGTAGATGTTTGACAGTAGTAAACATCAGTAATAAAGGAGCTTACCCCACAGACCTTCATTATAGTTATATTGTTAAATATGAAATGATATAAAACTAACTC